CCATTTGAGTGGAGGAAAACAGAGTGGTTTGACATGGACCCCAAATCAAAGTACAGGGGCAGACGCTGCCAAGTGCAGGCGTTGATCTGCTACCTAACTGCTCCTTCCATGGGCAACTGGCAGTTTGATATGGAAAGCTCCTTGCTAGAGGCAGCAGAAGGATATTTATTGAACTAAGGGAAATGCTTCTCCAGGCCCACAGGTGATGACACTGATAACCAGTATTTACCGAGCTCTTATTCTCCACTAAGCATTTTACCTGCTTGTCTAGATTAATTCTCATAAACACCTCTGAGATGTAGGGATCCACGTTCCCATTTTTTTTTTTTTTTTTGTGGTAGGCGGGCCTCCCACTGCTGTGGGCTCTCCCGTTGTGGAGGGCTCAGCGGCCATGGCTCACGGGCCTAGCCGCTCCACGGCATGTGGGATCTTCCCAGACCGGGGCACGAACCCGTGTCCCCTGCATCGGCAGGCGGACTCTCAACCACTGCGCCACCAGGGAAGCCCCCCATTTTTAAAATATTTATCATTTATTTATTATGGCTGTGCTGGGTCTTAGTTGCGGCACGTGGGATCTTTAGTTGCAGCATGCGGACTCTGAGTTGCAGTATGCATGCGGGATCCAGTTCCCCGACCAGGGATCGAACCTGGGTCCCTTGCATTGGGAGCGTGGAGTCTTACCCACAGACCACCAGAGAAGTCCCCATATTCCCATTTTATAAATGAACAAACTGAGCACTGGAGCAGTTACATGATTTGCCCAACGCTACAGTTATTTGCAAGTAAGTGGCAAAGGCAGGATTCAAACTCAGGCCCGTGTAACTCCAAGTTCGAGTTTGCCCTGCAGCACACAGGCCACGGCTAGGCTGCATCAGATGACGACGCCAGCAGAACCGAGATTTGAACCCAGGTGAACTGATACTATGGTTGAGTGTCCTTCCTACCCCATGAGAGTGAGAATCAGGCCAAGAAGCCTGGGCCAGAGAATGAAGTACTCGTTGGAGTGAGTGGCCTCTTCAGAGGTTCCGAAACACAGCTGGGTTCTAGGAAGGCCCCTGGATGGGGCGAGGAGGGCACGGGCATTGCCGTAAGAGTTAGTGTGGCTTTGGGAGATGGAGAGTCCTGGGTTAGGATTCCATCCTTGTCTTTCCCCTGTCCCATCTATATATAGCAAGTCCACGCTTTCACTGCTGAGGGCCTGGGTTCAATCCCTGGTCCCGCAAGCTGTGTGGCGCAGCCAAAAAAATAAATAAACAAAATAAAATAAAATCGGGACAAAATCACGATGTACCTTGGGAGGCTGCTGGCTACACAACGTGAAGACACACATAAAATGCTTAGTGTAGTGCCTGGTACAGAGCAAGCACTCAGACACAGCAGCTATGTTATAATAAATCCCATCAACACTGATATTGGCTTTCTGCCTAAAATAGAAAGACGGGGAATGATACTGGATTGGGGGTGGCAGTGGCTCGTGTTACGATTTTTGAGCTGCAGCCCAGCTGGCAACGGTGCCATTGCAGAACACAGCTGGGGCAGGCCACCCTCCCTTCTCTCTAGCGAAGAGCCATCTCCATAGCAACCACATCAGCTCAGGCCAGGGGCTCCTGTTCCCAGCCGGGTGACAGCATCGCCACAGCAACCTGTCAGGATGGCAAAGGCAGATCTCGATGATGGGACTGGAACAGCTCTGGCAGAAGAATTGCTAAGGGACCCTCGTCTCCATAGAAACCATATCAGGAAGGAGAAGGAGGAGAGAGGGCAATCAGCAAATAAACACAGGGCCACGCCTCCTTCCGCAGATCCTAAGACACCGAGGGGCACATCAGGGAGGGCTAGGCCAGCCTCACTGACATCACCTTCAAGAGGAAGTGAACCAGTGTTTCCTGAGCACCAACTGTGTGCCAGGCACCACAAAGGGCTCTTTACATGCTTGACTTTATTTAAAATTTCACTAATAATAACCACGGCTCCCCCCAAAAAAACCCCTAAATACAGCAATCATAGAATAAAAAGCAAAAGCCATTACCTACCGTACTCCTACCATTTCTAATGCCTCAGTTCAGTGGGTTTCCCTCCAGACTTTCCTCCAGGCTATGCATTTGCACATACAGACACATGCTTCAAAATCAGTTCGTTCTGTATGGCTTTCCAAAATAATTAGTGGGATTGCACAATATGTATGGTTCTATAGCTTTCTCTTCCCGCTTAACAATGTACCTTAGAGATCTTTCCACATCAGTGCATATGTATCTGCCTTTTTTCTTAAATCGTGGGAAAGTACACCTAATATAAAATTTACTATTTTAACCATTTTTTTCTTTTTTATGGCAGTAAAATATACATAACATAAGATCTGCTATTTTTAGCCATTTTCAAGGGTACAATCCAGTGGCATCATCACCATTCACCTCCAGAACTTTGTCATCATCCCAAACTGAAATGCTGTACCTATTAAACAATATCTCCCTATACCCTCCTCCCTCCAGGCTCTGGTAACCTCTAACCTACTTTCTGTCTCTATGAATTTGACTACTCTCAGTATCTCATCTGAGTGGAATCCTACAATACTTGTCCTGTTGTGTCTGGCTTATTTTACTGAGCACAGCGTCCTTGAGGTTCACCCACGTTGTAGCCTGTTTCAGAATCACGTTCCTTCTTAAGATTATACATACATTGGAGGCATATACTACATTTTTGTTTGTTCATTGATGGACATTTGGGTTGCTTACACCTTCTGGCTACCGTGAATAATGCTGCTATGAACATGAGGGTACAAATATCTGTTCGCGTCCCTGCTTTCACTTTTGGTATATATACCCAGAAGCGGAATTGGCTCATTTGGAAATTCTGTTTAACTTTCTCAGGAACTGCTTTACTACCTTATTCTTTTCACAGTGCTCTTCACAGTGCTCTCTGGTTACCCAATCTTATGAATGATCATGAACAACCTCATAAACTGGGTACTGTTATTATCCTGATGTCACAGATGAAGAAACTGAAACTTAGGGGAGGTGGCTTCAGGGTCTCAGCCCCATCTCAGCCAAGGAAAGGCTGGGTGAACTCAGGCAGGCTCTCCCTCTCTGGACCTCTGTTCCCTCTCCTTTACAATGGGAACAGGCTGACATCTGAGGCACCTTCTGAAACTGGCTCTCCTTTTCACTATCAAGGGTGGCAGCAATGAGATGTGTGAAGATGGTCCCCTGTTATTGGCCAGGCCATGGAGGGCAGGAGGCTGCCTGGGGGAGGGGGCCTCCCACGCAGCCCTGGGCAGCCCTGAGTAGCAAACACCTCCCATCTCCACACCGAGAAGCCTTTGGCTCGTCACACCAACACACCCAGTGGGGAGGGCAGCAGAAGGATTGTTACGGCCTCAGGGCTGTGGTGTCTGTCCTGGAATGCTGGCACGCCTGCCCTTGGGAAGGTGAGAACTGTGCCCCAGAACAACGTTCGATCCTAGCATGCCTCATGAGCAGCCAGACAGCTGAGGCCCAGCTGTGCCTCTGGGGGCAGAAGGCACCGGGGCCGCCTGGGACACAGACCCCTGGATTCTGGAGGATTCCAGCCCTTAGGCATCACCTGGGCTGATGGTTTCCAATCTGCACAGCCCACTGGGCCCTACATGACCTGGAGGACATCGCTCCCTCCCTCAGGGCTGTGTTTTCATCCATAAAACTGGTACAATCACAACCTCATCAGGCCTTTCTGAAAATCATGGAAAGTGTCTAGCATGGTGCTTAACATGCTGTACACCTAACACACAGCAGAAGAAAGAATGGGATGCCAGGTGGAAGGACTCTCATGACCAAAGACAGAGAAGCTGGTGCCTGGGGTCACACTCAAGAAGCATCTGGGGCTTCCCTGGTGGCGCAGTGGTTAAGAATCCGCCTGCCAGGGCTTCCCTGGTGGCGCAGCGGTTGAGAATCTGCCTGCTAATGCAGGGGACACGGGTTCGAGCCCTGGTCTGGGAGGATCCCACATGCCACGGAGCAACTAGGCCCGTGAGCCACAACTACTGAGCCTGCGCGTCTGGAGCCTGTGCTCCGCAACAAGAGAGGCCGCGATAGTGAGAGGCCCGCGCACCGCGATGAGGAGTGGCCCCCACTTGCCACAGCTAGAGGAAGCCCTCGCACAGAAACAAAGACCCAACACAGCAAAAAAAAAAAAAAAGAATCCGCCTGCCAATGCAGGGGACAAGGGTTCGAGCCCTGGTCCGGGAAGATCCCACATGCCGCGAGGCAACTAAGCCCGTGCGCCACAACTACTGAGCCTGCACTCTAGAGCCCGCGAGCCACAACTACTGAAGCCCGTGCACTCTAGAGCCCGTGCTCTTCAACAAGAGGAGCCACCGCAATGAAAACCCCACGCACTGCCATGAAGAGTAGCCGCCATTCGCTGCAACTAGAGAAAGCCCGAGTGCAGCAACGAAGACCCAACGTAGCCAAAATAAATAAATTAAATAAATTAAAAAAAAAAAAGCATCTGTGTCCTGGAAATGTGTTGAGACACCAGCCAGAGGCTGCCCAGACCTGGCAGTGACTTTATACCGAGTGGCAATGTCAGGCAGTCCCTAAAGCATGTCCACAAAATCTATACCACTTAGTCCTTCCAATGATTTGAAGTATTACTATCCCCTTTTATAGATGAGGAAACTGAGGCACAGAGGGCTGGGTCCCCTGCTCAGCACTGTTGCATGTTTTCTCAGGCAATCCTCTCCCAGCTGTGGTCCTTTGATGGCTGACTGTCTCCTTCGTTAGCCTGTGGGCTCCTCGAGGACAGGAACCAGGTGTCTCTCACGCACCCCTGTGTCCTTAGTATCCAGCACACAGTGAACACAGTAGGTGCTCAGGGAGCGCGTGCTGGAGCAGTGAATGAATAGACAGCTCTGCCAGGGAGGCATAACTGTGCAGAGACAGAGGTTCAGAGACACTGGCTGGATGGGGCTGGCACATGCCTGCCCGGCCCAGGCCTGGCCCTGCCGGGGTGGACGGGGGCCTCACCTCTCTCGGCCGCTCCAGCTCTGTCTGCAGCACCTGCTTGGCCAGCTCGGTCTCAATGAGCCGCTGCCGAAGCTCCTCATTCTCCTCCTCCAGCCTCGCCCGTTTCTTCTCCACCGCCTCGAGCTCTTTATGCAGCCGCACGGAGATGTCCTTAGAGACCTGAGCAAAGGTGGGTGATGAGCAGGGCATGAGCAGGCCATCCTACCTCTACCACAGAGCAACCCCAGGGTAGGCAGGCGCTCTCATCACCCCCACTTAGAGAAGAGGAAACTGAGGCACAGAGAGGTCAAGTAACTCACCAAGGGTTGCACAGCCAGGAAGTGGTAGAACCAAAACCCAAACCCAGGCACCCTGTGTTTCCTATGTCCACATCATAGTTCAGCTCCCAGAAAGCTATAGAGGCAGTGCCTGTTCTTAGCAATGCCCTTACTTTTATCTGGGCCTTTTGATGCTTCCAGAAGCCTCTCATGTCCACCCTCTTGCCCAGTTCTCACCAGAGCTTAAGACAGGACCAGAAGATCATTTTATTTATTTTTTTAAATTTAATTTTATTTATTTATTTTTATACAGGAGGTTCTTATTGGTTATCTACTTTATACAAATTAGTGTATATATGTCAGTCCCTATCTCCCAATTCATCCCACCACCACTACCCCCCAAGAAGATCATTTTAAAGAGAGGGGAAACCCAGAGCAAGATGGGCATCCCCAGAGACACCTGAACCCCATCTCTGCCAGTGACCAGCATACATTCCTGGGCAAATTACTTCCCTACTCTGGGTCTTTAACTACAAAATGGGTGCAATAATAACAGCACCAACCTCATGGGCCGACAGGAGGACTGAATCAGCTATTGCACAAAGGCTTGGCTGAGTGCCTGCACAGTGAGCATTGGGTAAGTGGTGGCTGCTGCTGGGAGGCGCTGAGCCCAGAGGGGGCATGACTTGCTGGGGGTCACAATGTGACACAGACCATGAGGCCTATTTCCAGTTGTCTGGGATACAGAACATGCCCCCAGTGACAAAGGCTGGGCAGATGTCCAAGTCATCCCTACAGAAGGAGCTAACGGAGCTGCAAACTCCAATCCCGGTTCCAGGACTCTGCTGCAAGAGCACCCCGTTTCCTTGAGGACCCTTCTGTCCTGTCCCCTGCCGGCTGGGGTGAAAGGTAGGAAAGGGGGTCTCTTCTCTGGGGATGAGGAAGGCCCTTCTGAGCTGGTAAATCACAACTAGCCTCCATCCCCAAGTGGACTGAGTGCTAGCATTTGTTGAATACCTGCTATGTGCCAGATTCATTCCTCTTCACCCCAACCCTGCCCCCATTTTACTGGCAAGAAAACTGAGGCTCAGAGGGCAAATGACTTGCTCAGAGTCAAACAGAGCTAGTGTGGGCCAAGCTGGAGGGGGCTTTGGCTGAAGGGCCAGCGTGGCCCAGGCTCCACAAGGGGTGTGAGGGCTTTGCCAGCAAGAGGTATGTGTGGGGCAGACAGCCCAGTGCCTCGTGCCTGCCAGTCTCGGAAATGGCCATGGCACCTCCTCCCTGCCGGAAGGGAAGAGGGCCCTCCCTGGCTCTGCCTTCTGCGGGCCCAGGCCCAACTCGGCACGGACCCCTTGGCAGTGTGCAAGGCAGGCCAGGAAGAACAACGGCCAGAAAGGAAATCGAGCCCTGCCTCCCTCTCCTCCCTCCGTTGCCCACTGCCTCTCTCAGCCCCCTGAAGATCTCCTAGGACAGCTGGAAGCTGGCCCACGAGGCTCCTCCCACAGTCTCTCTAGGCCACCAAACCCTCCTCATCCACAAAGTGGGGGGAGCAATCCCTCACTAGCAGAACGAGGACTTCGCAGGTGGGAAAACTAGATTCAAGCCTGATTCCAGCCCTCACTGGGTGTGTGACCCAGGACAGGTTATTTAACCATTTGAAGTCTTGGTTTCGTCATCAGTAAAAGGGTGTTGATATAGCCTAGTCACGAGGCCTGCTGTGAGGAATAAAAGACATAGCGCTTGGAATCCCACTACTGGGCATATACCCAGAGAAAACCATAAGTCAAAAAGACACATGCAGGGCTTCCCTGGTGGCGCAGTGCTTGAGAGTCCGTCTGCCGATGCAGGAGACGCGGGTTCGTGCCCCGTTTCGGGAGGATCCCACGTGCCGCGGAGCGGCTGGGCCCGTGAGCCATGGCCACTGAGCCTGCGCGTCCGGAGCCTGTGCTCCGCAAATGGGAGAGGCCACAACAGTGAGAGGCCCGCATAACGCAAGAAAAAAGAAAAAAAAAAAAAAAGACACATGCACCCCAATGTTCACTGCAGCACTACTTACAAGAGCCAGGTCATGGAAGCAACCTAAACGCCCATCGACAGACGAATGGATAAAGAAGATGTGGTACATATATACAATGGAATATTACTCAGCCATAAAAAGGAATGAAATTGGGTCATTTGTAGAGATGTGGATGGATCTAGAGACTGTCATATAGAGCGAAGTAAGTCAGAAAGAGAAAAACAAATATCGTATATTAACGCGTATATGTGGAACCTAGAAAAATGGCACAGATGAACCGGTTTGCAGGGCAGCAATAGAGACACAGATGTAGAGAACAAACGTATGGACACCAAGGGAGGAAAGCGGTGGGGGGGGAGGTGGGGGTGGGATGAACTGGGAGATTGGGATGGACATGTATACACTGATGTGTATAAAATAGATAACTAATAAGAACCTGCTGTAAAAAAAATTAATTAAATAAAATTCAAAAATTCAAAAAAAAAAAGACATAGTGCTTGGGCTGGTGGCTGGAACACAGCAGGTGCTCCAAAGTATGGTTTTTAATGCATTGTCAAGATTACTTCCTCACCTCTGTGCACTGATTTTAAGGCTGTGGCCCAACAGCCCGCAACCTCGCTCTTGAGTTTAGCGTCCGGGTGTTCAGCCCCAGGTCCCAAGTTTTAGGCTATTAGGTCACCCAGTGAGTCCCTGTCCTGACCAATACTCCATTCATTCATTCATTTATTCATTCATTCACCTGCTTTAGCCCCTGGGGGCAGGAGTGGTAGAGCACAAAGGTCCAGGCCCCAGGCCATGCTGGGGCTCCTTCATATCTCTGTGTCCCGGTAGCAGCGCAGGGTCTGGCACACACTAAGTGCCTAATAAATGCTTGTTGGATGAACAAACAAATCCAAGACCGCAGCAAGCAAAAAGGGAGGGAAATGAAGGAGGGAATGACTGAAACATGGGGAGCTACACATGCCCTAGCTTGGCTGGGGATGCTCCCCCCAACTGCCCACACCCCCAAATGTCCAGAGAGGGCTGTGTCCCTGACTGGGATGAGGGATCAGCTGCTGGGAGGAGCGGGGGCTCCTCTCCTAACTATGCTCCCACCTGGGCCAGCTCCTCTCCACCTGGGGTTCACTCCATCCCCACCATGGCCTTGACCTCGGCAGGTGACCCACTCCCCACCAAGAAGTCATGATCCATGTGGATTCCTGGATCCTCTTGGGTTCATGAGTGACTCTATGGATTTCATCCCTTCCGTGAATCCCCAGTTGCCTTCTGCCCCATTCTCCATGGAACCCCCTTCTCCAACTGCTTTCTACCCCCAGGGGTGCTCTGTTAAGAAGGCCTAGCCCCAGGCAGCTTACAGAATTCCAGTGTGGACAAAAGAGCCCTTAATCTCAGATCCCCACAGAGCCCTGTGCCCCTGATGGAGGCCCACAGGAGCAAAGAGCATGCCTGCCTGGAGGGCAGGAGCCTGGTTGCCTGCGCCTCTCCCTTTCTCTCTCTGAGCCTCAGTGGTCCTGGGCCCCCCGGCTCTCCCAGGTAATCAGGCAGAATCAGCTGTCGCTCCCCGAGCACCCACCACATGCCTTTCATCCCCTGGGAACGTGCCTTGAATATCATCCCCAGTCTGAGGCTCAGAAAGAAAAGGTCATTTGCCCAAGGCCACACAGCTAGGAAGCTACAGAACCAAGATCTGAAAGCAGGTGGGTCAACTCTGGAGTCTTGCTCTCCATCTGAGCTGCCGTTGGCCTGAAGCTTGAAGACACATTATATTAATATCAATAATAAGAGTATTAAAAATAAGCGCAAAAGTGGGCTCACTGTGTCAGGGGCTCACGGGGCCCCACCTGCCTGTCTCATTTGATCCTCTCATGATCCTTCCAACTATCCCCAAGGTTGGGGGGCTGAGATACTACAGGAGGTGAAGCAGCTGCAGCTTCTGGAAACCAGGGCAAATCCCCAAAGCACAAACAAATGCTCTCAGCCATGAGGTCACTGTTACAGCACTGGGGTCTGGCTCCTGCCAAATGCAACCAGCAGCCTCCAGGCCACAGCCACCTCGCTCATGGGCCCCTCGGCTCCTGGGCCTAAGGCTTTAAGGGGTCTCTGTCACTCTGAATCCCCAGGGTGTGGGATAGGAGCCGTCACTAAGGAGCACCCCCTGTCCAGGCAGCATCTGGGTTCTGTGTGGCAAAATCCTCCCAGGAACCCCGGGAGGGTGGAAATGTCACCCCCATTGTACAGATGAGGAAACTGAGGATCAAAGAGAGAAAGTAACCCACTCAGGTCACCCAGGAATTAAACCCAAAGCCAGAACTTTTTCTCCGGCAACATCTATTTCTAAGAATTGTTTTACCGGTGTGTCCTCGGGCCTCCCACAAGAGTCCCTTCAGGTGGGAATTTTCATCCCTGATTCCCGGGACCTGACACCCTCCTACAGGATCCCAAGCCCTGAGGGTGGGGCCTGGGAATCTCCATGGTAAACAAACCTCCAGGCTATGCTTATCTACCCAGGGAGGTAAAGATTCTGGCCCCCTTCTCCACCACGGTCCAGCCATTTGTCCCACTAGTGCCTTTTAAGTTCTTCTCCTGAACAGTTAACAGGCCAAGCAACATCTGCTCATTTGCTGAGGGAGCATCCCAAGCCAGACTCCGTGCTCAGCACGCTCTTTACTTGAGCTATTTCATTTTATCCTCACAAAAATCTCTACAGGTAGAGACTTGTTGCATCTCCATTTTCCACATGGGGAAACTGAGGCTCAGGGCTGTCAAGGAGCTTTCCCAAAGCCACACAGCAAGCAAGTGGTAGAGCAGGTCTCTGCCCCGCCGACCCCTGCCCTCCTCATGCTGAACAATG